ATGAGGTACCAGAAATGAAACCAGGCAGGGTGATGTGCAGGGCAAGTGCCTTTACCCCTGTACTATCTCTCCTGCCCCCCCCCCAAAATTTATTTATAGAAAACCCAAGTATTGTTAAATCTCTGGTTATTTCCAACCTATTTATATCATTTATTAGAAAATAAACCACTTATGCATTGGGCAGCAATTGAACTAATGATGCTAGATGCTGTGTTGAATATTCCTTCTGGTTTATTGGACAAACTGGCAGGCTACCAAATGTAACCTGCCCACACGGCAGAGTCTGGCAAACTCCCCGTGGCATACCCAATATGCCAAATACCAGTAACAATGATGGGTCTCATTCTCCTAAAGAGCCTTGAATATAGCACTTTCCTAAAAATCTCAGGGCTAGGATGAAGGAGACGTTACTGGGGCCTGCTCGAGGCAATCAACGAATAACAGGATGGTCATGGTAAAATGAGAGAAAATAGGGAAGATGTTGTAGACAGTGGTGGAGGGATATTGTCACTTTGGTGGTTAACAGTGAACACCTAAAACTTATAAACACTTACTATATTTTACATCTAAATCAATGAATAAAAATTTTAGAAGGGAAAAGATAAAAAGGAAGAAACTAAGGAAGATAGAAATTTGTGATCTGAGAGATAAAGCTAATCGGTCAAGCTGGAATGGGACCCAAATAAGAATTTAACTTTTCACGCCTATCACAGAGGCAGAGGGGGGGAGGGAAAAGGAGAAGAGGAGATGGCAGGGGGAGGGGAGGGGGGAATAGGAGGGATACTGGGAACATTGGTGGTGGAGAATGGGCACTGGTGGAGGGATGGGCACTCGATCATTGCATGACTAAAAAGTAAGCACAAAAGTTTGTAAGTCTGTAACTGTACTTCATGATGATTCATTAAAAAATCGAATTTTTTTTTTTTTTGCTTTTTGAGTCACACCCAGCGGTGCACAGGAGTTACTCCTGGTTCATGCACTCAGGAATTACTCCTGGAAGTGCTCAGGGGACCATATGGGATGCTGGGAATCAAAACTAGGTCGGCTGCGTGCAAGGCAAATGCCCTACCCGCTGTGCTATTCCTCCAGCCCCAATAAAACATTTTTAAAATAAATTTTAAAATAATAAATTGCTGATACAAAGACCATAAAAAATAATTTAACTTTTCTACCTCAATATATTCTGTTTTATTACCATTCATATAAAAATGTTTCAGAAGACTTTTGAAAAGAATTTTTCCTGTTTGTCAATATGCACAACCTGCTTATAGACAATTATGGTTACTGTAGAGGATGGAGAAAGTGTTTAAAGAGATCGTTTGTGAATAATGTTTATAATTAATTGCTTTTTATGACATCAAATTTAAATTCTTCTACTCCCCACTCCTGACTCCTGCCAAAAATTGAGTCTTCTGCCCTTACAAACTATAAAAATCTAGGGCAGTCTCCACTTATGTGATAGACTTTACAATTTAATAACTGTTATCTGAAAATGTGGGCCTCAAAGTCAGATAAGAAACCTCTTTTCTTCCAGCACCATCAAGACCTAAACAGAGTCCAGGGTTTTCTTAGTCTTCCAAGACAGTCAGTGACAAAACCGTGGTGAGAAAGAATACACAGGCAACAAATATTCATTGAGCGCTCCAGGAAATGAAAACCAATCTGTGAGGTCAATGTTGTCAGCCTTCTGGGTAATAATAAGGTGCCTAGGGAGAGGCTGATAAGTCCCAAGTCACATAGTTCATGTGGAGTTAAAACTGGAACTCAGACAAGCCAGAGACCAAAAATATTAAGCTCTTTCTATCAAGGTGCTTTAGTTACAAAGATCAGAGGAGACCTGATTTGCCTCAATGTAGGATAACACTGTTTTGTCCTTCCTGCATAGCCTCAGGTAGTTTAGGTTTATTGAGTTGCTCCAATCACAGTGCTCCCATTCCTCTGTGTTTATTTGTTTCTTTGTGCTCTGTTGACTTGTAAATATTGTTTTTCTCTTCTCCGTAAGAAACTAAGTCCTTTGCATAGTTTATACAGAGCAATGTCCTTTTTGTATGGACACAAGAAGACACACTTTTGTAATGTGGCTCTCAGTGATATTTCCCTCCTGGGCATCTGCTCTCTCATCTAAGCCTCAGCTGCCCTTTCTTCCTACCGTCCCCAAAAGCAGGGTCCCAACGAGGGACTGGATGGAACCAGGGTAAGCGGTAAGCTATGTGCTACCCTGGCATCGAGATGGGCCTGGTCAAAGTGCCATAATGCTTAACTATAAGTTAAGAGCTTGATCATGGACTAATGCTATCATGATCCAAAAAGTAGAATTGGACCCTGCTGGGTTAGGAATGATTAATCTGGCCTGAGCACTGTAGTCTGAGTCTGTGGCAAGATGTTCCCAGGAGAGCTGCCCTACAAGTCTCAAGGTTATCTCTTAACTGTGTCCATACAAAAATAGCAAATATTGATATGTTGATAGTTATTGGACTGAGGAAAAGAGAAAAACACCTTAAGGAGTATTTTGCCTGGGGCAGTCAGGAAGGACTTTAGAATACGTATTAGGTGGGCCCCCAGGAAGGGCTTTCTTAAGTTGATTTTGCTACCTGACTGGGTTCTGTGTCAACCCAGACTGTAGGGGAGAGAGGAGAGAGCACAGGGCGGCAAGATGGACTGCGGACGAACTGCGGAGAGGCTAGCAAGGGGGAACATGTGCTTGAGAGAACCTGGGCCCTCCATAACATAAATTTCTTCTATCGGATAAGCTTCCTTGTAATAAACTGCTATAAGATTAACCAGCCTGGCCCTCGTCTCTTCCTTCGTCTGCCCTTGGCCAACAGCCATCCGGATCCAGGTCACACACAGTGGCTCAAGAGCACCAAACGTGGGCGGTGAGACAGAGCCGTCCAGAGAGCCTGCGAACACATACAACCTTCCGTGTGTTTAGTTTTTTACACCTCAAGAAGAGAGTTTATTGGAAGACACTAGTATATAAACAGAAATCCAGTGAGAAGCCCCAAAAAACCAGTGTCATGAATTACTTCATCTCTCTCTAGAGCACCCCTCTTTCCTACCATCGGCTTCTTTCCACACGCGTTTCCATCCCCCATTCAAATAGCTTCCTCTGCAAGATCATCCCAACGAAAGCCAATGCACACTGTCATTAGCCACTTGGCAGCCAGCAGTTCAGGCATTCAAAGCATCAGGAACTGTCAATGGATAACTTTAGTTATTTTCAGGAACAGATTAAGGGGCAACATTTCTCAGAGACTCATATTATTTCCATTGTAAAGTCTCGTTTTATTATCTAGCCTGGTCTTTATTCAAACACTGTTCCCTGAAAGGTCCCAAACACACCAGCATGGAACTCCCAGACTGTCTCATTCACCTCATTCACCCTTGCCTCATCAGCCTAGTTTAGGTTCCTCTAACCTAATGCTATGTGAGTTTGATCCTATATTCCTTGTTTGTGGGTTTCATACAATAAGGGAATCTCAGTGCAAACAAGACATTGGTTGTCTTGGCCCATTACCATATCACCAACTCTTAAGAAGTGCCAGGTAAATGCCTGGCACTCAATATTTATGAAAGAGACCAATGAATAAATCTCATATATGCTATTTATCTTGTCCATTTCAAGAAAATACTTTTAAGATTTTTTTTTTGTTAGAGACTGTCATTAAGGGTAAGAATGTCTAAGCCTGACTTTTGTGTCTCCTCTCTAGGCAATGTCATGATTGTGAGGCGCTATTCCATTCCCTCACCTACTCATTCATTGGCCAAAATCGATCCTTGGGACAACAGGAAAAGATATGCAAATGATGGAATTCTTGAAGTTCGTGAGACAGTTAAATCACTGGAATGTTCGTCAAGTACAAAAGAAGAAAAAGAAGAAAAGATGGTTGCAGCAGATTCTATAACCAGCCAAAGACCCTCACCTGAGCACAGGCTGGGGGGCAGGTAAGGTCCAATATGTCTCCAGCTGATTACAGGCACATGCTAATGGTACTGAGACCATCTTTTATGCAAGCAAACTCTTATCTAGAGAAACAAAAAATAGGCTCTTGGGTCTATTTGTTGGGCTTATTTGAGATGGAAAGTAGTTTCCCTCTCATTTATGTTTATTTAAGGAAACAAAAGGAACAAATTTATTTGTGGTCCAATGGCACTCTCTAGCAGATGCCTCTAATAAGTGGAAAACTTCATTAGACTTCAGTCACTCACTAAGCTTGAACGCCTCCAATTCTGAGCCATGCACCAGCCATACAAGGTTCTGCAGAAGCGAAATGATATACTCAAAACTTTTACCTTGTAGCAAAGACACAGCACACAGAGAAAAACAATCAGTTTGTGTCTGGGACATGGCACCATTACTGCAAGAGCTAAATACAGACTCTCTCTTTGAGAAAGGGAGAAGGAAGGAATCCAAATGGGTTTTCTTCGGTAGCACTATAAGTACTGTCCTCCCTTGTTCGTTGATTTGCTCAAGCGGGCACCAGTAACGTCTCCATTGTGAGACTTGCATGCAGTCAATTTCAGTTTGTTCTCCAGCATGGAGTCCTGAAGCACAACTAGATCAAATCAGGCAAGAAAAAAAAAATGGGGAGATCAAACCAAGAAGAACAAAGAGGACCAGGCCATGACTATAATAGCAATTGAAAGTGGTGAAGAGGGTGAGGATGTCTTGATACCTTGCAGGCATGAGACCTCAAGTTGGAACCCTGGTACCACCCCATCACTGAGCACAATCCTGACAGGATTGCCATAGTGATCCTGAGTTACGCATGCGTAAATCTTGAATGACAGCGGTAAAAACAATGAAGGGAAGTGAGGGGGGAAATACAGAAAGATTCAGAAATGAATGTTTTAGGTAACAAAATATCTGCAAGAATGGTGACATTTTCTTCATATATACTTTATAGGTGTATATTAGTAAAACTGTAATTTTAGGTAAAACAGTTATTAATAAAGAGAAATCTCCTCTGTCCATCTTCCTCCTGCTTCTCCCAACAGCCTAGTGAGCTCCATTTTTATCCTTTCCATCTGTTTTTCTACACTGTCATTACATGCATTCATTCAAAACACTCATCCCAAAAGCATTCTACATGTTGGACATAATCCCAGGCCCTGCAGATCCAGCAGGAAATAAAACTATTCCAAAACCCTGCCTATATAGATCACTCTCCTTTGTTTGCATGGTAATCGATAAACATGAAAATAATGTAAAGCAGATATTATGCTCAATGGAGACAAATGCCAAAGAGAAAAAAAATCAATCCATCAAAAGGAAAAAAAGAGTTAGTGGAATAAGCTTTGCTACTAGGCCTCAACCCCTTGCGTACAGAGAGGAGAGGGAGTCGTGAGGATATCAAGGGGTAACTTCTCCCTGGGCATTTATAACAGCAAATGCAAGAGGTTCACAGGGTTGTGGGTACACTGAGGTTCAACAAAGGGCAGGAGAGTAGGATAATCCCAAGGGAGAAGATGGAGAACAACAGAAACATCACTGAGGGGTGGCCTCCCACTTATTAATTTTATGTGCTTATTCTAAGTGATCTGTAGCACTGTTCTCCCCTTGTTCATCGAGTTGCTCTTAGCGGGCCCAGTAACGTCTCCATTGTGACACTTGGCTCAGCCAGGTCGGCCGCGTGCAAGGCAAACGCCCTACCCTTGTGCTATAGCTCCGCACAGTGGTAGGGCATTTGCCTTGTATGCAGCCAGCGTGGCTGACCCAGGTTCGATTCCTCTGCCCCTCTCAGAGAGTCCCGCAAGCTACCAAGAGTATCTCGCCTGCACGGCAAAGCCTGGCAAGCTCTCTGTGACGTATTCGATATGCCAAACACTGTAACAACAAGTGTCACAATGGAGACGTTACTGGACCCGCTCGAGCAAATCGATGAGCAACGGGAGGACAGTGCTACAGTGCTATTCTAAGTCATCAGGAAAAAAACCCTGGTGTTGCAAAACTGTAGGAATCCAGAAAATATAGAGAATAGTTTTAAAGAGGGAAAAGAAAAACTATTCAAGATGGTCATTTCTTGGGTAAAGATTAACAATGGACGTGGGGTTTTTTGGATATGTTTTAAAAGCAATAAAATTTGTCACCATATCAGATGTGAGGTATGGAGTGTAGACTCAACCCTGGAGTTAAAATGGACACAAATTTTTAAAAAGGGAAAGGAGAAATAAGTACAGAAATGCATCCTTGCTTTAGAAATCACAAAGACAGAGTCAGAAAGGTCGTATAGTAGATGAGGGGCTCGTCTTGCACATGACCAGCCAAGATATTGTCCTCTGAGCATCACAAGTAGTGATACCTAAGCACAGAGCTAGAAGGAAGCCCTGAGTAACCCAGGTGTAGCCTAAAATTCCAAAGGAAATAATAAATTTAAAATAATTTAAAACATATATAGAGCCCCAGGAATGGCTCAGTGGCAAAATGGCCGACTTTGTAGGCAAGATGAGTTTGACCCCTGTACCACCTTTACGCACTGAGAATCTTCCCCATGGCTCTGCTGACTGGCACCTTCAGCACTGCCACAGATAGCGTTGTTATGCTGTCTTCATCCTACCCAGTCAGCTGTCCGAGAACTTCAGCTAAAGGCTCCTACCTCCAGAAAGAACTGCAGCTGAAAGGTGTGCTAGCTAGGATCAGAGAGACAAAACAGGGGTCAAGGCACATGCAACTGATCCCAGTTCAATCCCGAGCCCTGCATGGTCCGCCAAGAACCAAGCACCAATAGGAGCAACCTCCTGAGCAAGATGCAGTAGTAGTAATAGGTCCTGAGTACCCCAGAAGTGTCATCCTCCAAAAAACAAAAAGATGTGTTAGTCCCATATCCAGAAGTGCTACACTCACCACCACCCCCACCCCCCCCCCCCACACACACAAAACCCTGTAAGCATGGGTATAAGCCCACTACGAAGGAGAACAACCTTAGGGCAGAGAGATAAAGGGAATGGCTCTTGTCTTGCATGCAGCTGACCCAGGTTCCTTCCCCAGCACCAAATACAGTTCAATCCCATCAGGGGTGATTCTTGAGCACAGAGCCAGGAGCAAGGCTTTGATTAGTAATGCTATTTTTGACAAAGCAAAGTGTGGCACAACAATAAAGACAAGCAAAATCAACGTGTAGAACAACAGGTGAACACCACAACCAAGTGTGTGAGCACACATCCTGGCAGAGAGCACAATACACCACATGGGGGCTGGAGCAATAGCACAGCAGGTAGGGCATTTGCCTTGCACATGGCCAACCCAAGTTCGATTCCCAGCATCCCTGAGCACCGCCAGGAGTAATTTCTGAGTGCAGAGCCAGGAGTAACCCCTGTGCATTGCCAGGTGTGACCAAAAAAGGGAAAAAATAAAGAATACACCACAGCATTGTGTGTCTGCAACCCCCTGTTGTCACAGAAACAAGTCAGGAACAAAGGGGAAGAGAAGAGGGAAAATAAAATAAAAGCTAATCAAAATTATATATACACATAATTTTATGTAGATCAATTTTAGGCAAAGGACATCTCTCTATAAGTGTGTATGGCATCCGATTATATAAAAGTACCAAATGATCATTGTAAAAATGGTCACAAATTACAAACTAGAAATGCAATATACAAAGTAAAATATCTGATAAGGAAAACCTTCCATAAATCTAGGGCTGGAGTGATAGCACAGCGGTAGGGCGTTTGCCTTGCGCGCAGCCAGCCCAGCTGAGCCGGGTTCGATTACTCTGCCCCTCTTGGAGAGCCTGGCAAGCTACTGAGAGTATTCAATATGCCAAACACAGTAACAAAAAGTCTCACAATGGAGACATTACTGGGCCCGCTTGAGCAAATCGATGAACAACAGGAGGACCGTGACCGTGACCTAAATTATATTAAGGAAAACATAAGTAGAACTTCATGATGACATTGACTCTAGAATGACTAAATGCCTTAGGTCAAGAAAATGGAAGCAAAGATAAACAAATGGAACATCAAACTAAGGGACTTCTGCAAATTTTTAATAATGGGTCTTGTTTTGGTGTGAGAGTGTCACGGATCTATAATGCTAGATGAGAAAATAGAATTATTAATTTTCCTCTGTAATTTATAGCTTTTCTACAACGGTTTGGAAACCTGGCCAACATTTAAAATGTGTTATTTTTCTAAAACAAAATGTTTTCCAACTTCCAAACTGCCAACAAATGAGCTACTCAGAACACAATCCATTTCTAATTTAGAATATATTTTAATGTGAAGCACTGAGCCAAGATCGCAAGATTGTGTGAAAACTGGAAAGTCGGTGCAAACCTAAAATCAACAGCTGGGTTGGCATAAGATCCAATAGATACAGAGCAGTGGGTAGAAAGAAAACGCATATCCTGTTTCATCATCTTTTTTATTTTATCTTAGTTTCTCAGGGATTAGCAAGCAAAGTGAGGTGGTGCTAAATTTTTTTCCTCTAATCTTTGGGCAAATAATTGCTTCCAAGGAATTTTACAAATAGTTATGAAAAACCAACTTTATTTGAACTGGTATTAGAATCAATCAGACCTCGTACTTAATTTGTTTTGACTTTTCCCTTATTAGACCCAGACAGTATTTTACAAATCGAGATCTATGTCAATATTCTCAGAAACAGTGCTTTCTAGAAATGAAGAGAATATTTTTTATTTTCCCCAATTTTTATGTAAAACTCCAATCTTGTCCTCCTATGCTCAAGGAAAAGCGAGAGGGCATAAAGAGAGAATGATGATACAATGATGGAGGGAAATAGACAGTCTAGTAGAGGTTGTGATGTGACATTGTAGCTTTGAAACTCTCTCCTAAACAGTATCAATCATGGTGCTTCATTTAAAAAAAAAAAAAGGTAATCTTGAACTGTTTAAAAAAAATAGGGCAAAGAGTCTATATTTGAGAAGAAAATTGGAAATGTTATTTTTTTCATTTTACTGAGAGGAGAAGCCAGGCACAATCGAATAAATTTTCCCCTTCCTCTATAGCAAAGCTGTTAAGAAGGCAGCTGCTGGAATTCAATAAGTAAAATTCCAACTCCATCATTTACAAACAGCGTGAACTCGGCGAGAGTATTTGTCTGTCTTATTTCAGTTACTTCTTTAGCGAAAAGGGTTCATCATCGCGGTGCCTTTGTGAAATTAGTGAACTAGGGAAGCAAGGGAGCACTTAACCAGTACCGTGATTCCTATTTTCCAGATCCCGTATACAGACCCCGCAGGCCTTCTTTGAAGGGAAGGCTCAGATGTGGTTCCCTAGATATAGACCCCTAAGTGTCAGCCAGTGAAATGATGGCCTTATCTAACAACAACAAAGGGAAGAAGATGGGAGGACAGGCAATCATTTAAACACTTTTCTTTTGACTTACTCGTGCGAGCAGTTTATCCTGGCTTATCTCCATAACACTATGGGAGCCGCCAAAGATGAAGAGTTATATAATCCTTCCTGCTGGCTTGTTCGGCTCACTCCTCTCTTCCTTTTATTGCACAGGCGTGAGGGATAGTCAGTTCCTAGAGGCTGATCTGGATTATAAAATAATTGCCTCGAATGTCTAATTCATTCCAACCGAAGGACTTTGATGTGAAAAGATCTGAGATAGGATGGCATTATTCATCAAACTAAAATTCCCCAGACAAACGGACCTTCTTTCAATCGTTTCAAATTTTCGTTTTATCGGCACAAGTCACTGGGCTTAATTAAAAGATCAACTTCAATGTGTATAATTGTATCCTTCGTTGAACAACTGAACCAAAAAATTATGATGATATATTTTAAATTAGCTTTTAACACTTGGGCAGTATTTGGGTGACTAGGAAAAAAAATAGTAAATGTTTTGTATAAAGGCTCACTAAAAAATCTAATTTAACATCTCTTTATTCTGCTTTTTTTTTTTAGAGACAAGATAAAAACAGTCAGTTTCCTGTTACCTGTGGATATGTCTGCATATTCCAAACCATTAGATCCTTTGGAATGTTCACCAGATCAAGCCACAAATGAGCTAAGCACCATTGCAGAATAGAATGTGCGAGGCGAAGAAATTTAAGAAATCGTTAAATCCCCAGGGATAAGAATACCAAGGACGGCGTCTTGTCCTGCAGCAAAGAGCTCTAACAAGATGTCCAATGAGGCACACAAAATATTCAACACTGGATCAATAGACTTGTTAATGGTCAAACAGGGCTTGTCAATGGTCTTACCCCAGAAATGGAAACAATAACTTCATTATGTTATTAAATATTAATGCTGGTGTGTATGCAGTGCGGATTGCTCTTCATGCTATGTGGAAGCAATTAAAAGAAATTCATTCCGTGGAAATACATGTAAATTTTCTGGCTCCAAGTTATGCCATTAGAAGTATCATTTTTCCACATGAAACTCTAACAAAATGTTTAAAACGTGCTATTTGAGAGAGAGAGAGAGAGAGAAAGAGAGAGAGAGAGAAGAAAAGTTCCTGCCATCGAGGCAGGCAGGGAGTTGGGGGTGGGGGTGATGGGAGAGAACCTGGAGACATCGGTGCTGGGAAATGCCCACTGGTGAAGGGATGGGTGTTGGAATACTGTATGACTAAAATCCAATCATGAACAGCTTTGTAAGGGTCTATCTCACAGTGATTCAATAAAAAAATTTTCTTAAAAAGTACTATTTTTAGTGCCCAGCTGGAGCAATAGCACAGCTGTAGGGCCTTAGCCTTGCGCACAGCCAGCCCGGCAGAACCAGTTTGGGTTCCTCTGCCCATCTCAGAGAGCCCGGCAAGCTACTGAGAGTATCTTGCCCACCGGGCAAATCCTGGCAAGCTCCCCCCTGATGTATTCGATATGCCAAACACAGTAACAACAAGTGTCACAATGGAGACATTACTGGGCCCACTCGAGCAAATCAATGAACAAAGGAAGGACAGTACTACAGTGCTACAGGAGCCCAGCATCGGGCGGTGCTGTTTTTAGTCAACAGCAAAGGATGCAGTGGGGATCATCTTTAAAGTTCACTGTTACTCATATTTCACTGATACCAACTTATTTGGTCTTTGGTACATAGCTTCATAAGCACGTGAGCACAAAAGCTGCAGGATCACAACGCATCCACTAAGGGCTCAGAGTAACTAGGGGTTGGCTAAACAGGAAAGTCACTAAACCTTATGGAAAGGAGTGGGGGAGAAGGTTTAGACGATCATTTCTTAAGAACTGGAAATCCAAGCTCCCTCGATTTCTGTGCTTCTACTTGACAGAACATCGTTCTTTCCTGGTTTACTGCATCACATTCTAATGGCAATACCTTTTGTAAGAGCAAGTAGCTAGAAGCCCAAAGAGATTACCTTACATGTGGCTGACCTGGGTGCGACCCCCAGCACCACAAAGTGTCCCCAGAGTACTGCCAGGAATGATCCCTGAGCATAGAAACAGGAATAAACCCTGAGCACTGAGATATATGGCCCCCAAAACAAATAACAATAATTAATTAAAACAAAATTAATATATAACACTAAAATGTCCACTGTGTTCACCTATAGATCAAGGGTCTCACCCCAAACCAAATGGATTGACCACAGAGGTAGAAAAGCAAGCAGGGAGAAGACCAGAAAGTAAGATTTTAAACAAGCCTTCCAGGTCATTTCTGCTTTACAACAATGCTTGACCTCATTGTGGTAAATTTTAACCAGCATAGTCCAGAACTCTCCAAATCTGGTGCCAACTTGAATGAAAGCAGTGAAGGGTAGAAATGATCCTATTTATATCTAATAAAGGATCTTTAATAGTCACAAGCAGTCTCTTAGAAGTGAAAAGGATAAATCAGCCAATACCCTGCGGTAAAAGTCACATAATGGATCAAATGCTTATTTAATTTATGATACTCATTTTAGATGAATATTCTCCAATCTTACAGCAGATACAAAATAGGATGAGGTTATAAATGGAGGGCAGAGATACAAATACGTGAAAACGCATTCATCTGGGAATAAAGATACATAGCAAGTAGATAATTAATGTATTAACCTATGAGGTCAACTGTCATTTTTATTTTATGCACAATTACATTCTCTGTATTCTCGGCGAACTTAACAAGTGAATTTTTTAAATGAAGCTTTTTAAATGAAGTTGTATCAGTTAAAATAAACATTTCTCAAACAGTTTTTTTAGATAACAATTAAGTGACAGCCATCCAGATCACGTGGTCATAATTGGCCAAGTGGTAATTATGAATTCCCCCCAATGCCATGTGACTGACATTTTCTACATTTTAATGAAATAAACCAAATGACATTTAGAGCAGTCTAACCCTCTAGATAAAAATACCAGACCATGAAAATTTAAAATTTCAAATTAAGTTACCTAACAATATCATTTAAGAAACAAAGCTGGGGCTGGAGCGATAGCACAGCGGGTAGGGCATTTGCCTTGCACATGGCTGACCTGGGTTTGATTCCTCCATCCCTATCAGAGAGTCTGGCAAGCTACCAAGAGTATCGCACCCACACAGCAAAGCCTGGCAAGCTGCCCATGACATATTCGATATGCCAAACACAGTAAAAACAAGTCTCACAGTGGAAACATTACTGGTGCCCACTCGAGCAAATCGATGAACAACGGTAGGACAGTGCTACAGTGCTACCCTGATTCATGAATGCTGGCTACATGTCTGATTTTTTTTTAAAACACAGTGAAAACCAAAAGCAATGTGAGGTCTAGAACCTCAGATTTTAAATGCACTAAAATGTGACTTCCTAAATAGAAAGATCCAGAACACTAAAGGTGAATCTTGAAATTTAGAGTTTGAGGAACAGAAAAGAGAAAATTAAGCTTAAGTTTGGAGGAAAGAGAGGCAGAAAGAGAGGCTAAGATAGGTATTTCCTCTTTTTTAATACCTATCTAAGCTTTTCATGATATTGCATTATCTTACTTCAGGGTCTACTCCATTCACATCTCAACCTCTTTCTTGTTCCTTACCCAGAAGCAGGTCTACTTAAAGACCCATCACATTCAGAATGTTGGGGAAAACGCCAAACAACAACGTTGGGTCTTTTGTTGTAACATTGAATGTGATCAACGTAGAGAGAGAGAGTAAAGTGAAAATCTGCCACACAGGCAGGGGGTGGGTGGGAGGGGGGTATTCTGGGGTTCTTGGTGGTGGAAAATGTGCGCTGGTGAAGGGATGGGTGTTTTATCATTGTATGACCAACCAAGACTTGAACTGTAAGGCTTTGTGACTGTTCTCACGGTGATTCAATTAAAAAAAAAAAAAGACCCGCCACATAACTGATTCTCTTTGTTTGCTATCTCTCCCCTTGGTGGTCATCTTCTTTCATAGCCTCTTCTACAAATGAATGAGTTCCTAGACATCATTCTTTCAGTCTATATTTCTATCATGTATTTGCTAACTTACAGATTAAAACACATCCCTTTCTACATTAAATATATATACCTTTAATAATATACACTAGTTCTCCCTCTTATATAGCATACATATAACATACATGTGTGTGTATACACACACACACACACATATATATATATATATATATATATACTAGTTCAGGAAGAGCTGCCCCCCGCCCCAAGTCTAAAGTAGCAGATTTAGTAGAAAAACCAGACCCATACTCTGTATCTTCTGAACTACTCCTGTATGAGTTCACTACTGCCCCCTTGAACTGGCTACTATAAGCCTATCATTAAATTTAAAATAGTCAAATACATGGTCTTTTTTATAAATGAGTAAAAATCATCCTGCCTGCTAGTTGAAAACTGAACACTTTCTGATGACTGAATTTTATTACCCATTATTCTGCTTAAAGCTGTAGCAGAACAACATGTCGATGACATTTGGTGAGGATTTGCTGTAATTTGGAAAATTCTCAACAAGCAGAAAAGGTCTCAGTGTTTTCAACGGTCACCATATGTCAAGATCAAATGAAAACAAGTATGTGGATATCTTGCATAAAGCACTAAAGAAACAACAGGCACTGCTATTTTGCTTCATTCAAAACATAGACTACCAACATATTCCGAATTTTAAACCAAGATACTACATTGATAAAAATATGTATGTGAAATTTTAAGCTATTATTTCTAGCTTTAAAGTTCTCCAGGTTAAGTTTATGAGTCATAAACTGGCAGATGGACAAGGCACTTGCCTAGTGTTCAGTGCCCTTTTATTTACCTATTAAAAATAAGGAAGAAGAAAAATAGGAAGGAAGATGAAAGCACTGCCAGAATGAATTTTTAAGCCACCAATCTCATAATAATGGCAAAATCATATATCTGAAGGTGTTGAAAACTAAAGGCCAACAATAGAGATATTTGCTATCTTCAATATAGTTTCCAAAACTTTTTCTTTAACAAATATAAGCAGAGTAAGACAAGAGAAGTCTTAAATGATGTATTTGGAATCAGGTGGCAAGTGGGCAAATTTTCTAACTCTAACTCTGTCTGTTCCCATTGCCTTGAGCTATTTCTAATCTCTAAATTTGGAATCTAGAATAGAATTAACCAGAGAGAGCTATTCCACAGGGACAGTGTGGAATATCATTAAGTTCACCTTATCCCTTGGTTAAAATTACCGTTTATCTTCCAGAAAATAGATCTCAGAAACCTCTCCGATTCCTAGAAGGCACAATCTTTGAACATGATCTTTATTGCCACCCAAATATTATAGTACCTGTTATATGGCATGAAAGAAAATATCCACAGACCTTAAAAGATAATGAAATTATCTGGGAAAGATTTATGTAGTTGCTGTAATCAACAAATTATGTTCTATTATTTCCCTTCCTTAAGAAACATGGGACTTCTCTGGCCTCTAGCCATACTTTATTTTTAAATATCAATGTAGAGAAATTATATATTAATTCAAACTGCATTTTAGAAAAGCATGCAGTCGGAATAGACCCTTTCATTCTCATACAGGAATGAATAAAAACCCTGTTGTATCTTTTGTTCTTCTATAATTTCTGCCTTTATCAGTACCACAAGAAAGTCAAAATATTTCATGACTGACAAAAACTGCTAGAATTACAAGGTGAGAAAA